CTTGGCCTTTATATTTTCCACCCAGAAGTTTCCATTTATGTATTTATTTCATTTTATAAACCAACCTAGGCCCTGTGATCATCATCAACATTCTTTGTGTGCCTCCTCCATGAGAGGTCTGGAGGGCGACAGCACAAGAACGGGCCTTTTCTGCTGTAGCTCCTGTTTGTAGAATGCTCTCCCCAGGGAGGTACAATAAAAGAGTAAATAAAATCCTTATATGTTCCTGATGCGTTATTATAATATTGCCCAATTCCACAATATTAGCTTTTTCAGCAGAACCTGTGTGCCAGGGCAGTGCAGAGCAAGTATGTGTGGGCACGTATGCAAAGTCCTGCATGTAAGTTTTTCAGGGAAAGATACACTGTTTCTGATTAATTGTTAGTCATGTAACCAAATATTCTTCTGGAACTTAATTCCCTGGTTCCAAGAATTTGGAATTGGGAACAGAATTCTCCTGACCCAACTGTAGTCACAATGGTATTAGATGATGTTCAAGTGAATGAACCCTTTTCATAGTATGGCCAATTTTATTAGCTCCTGTAACAAGAGATTTGAAGAAGTAGGTCAAAAAGATGGAAAGCAAGACCTAAAAAAGAAAAAAGACAGATTGCACTGGATTGCAAAATGTGCTATATTTTGTGACAGCTCTGGTATCTTTGTCATTAAAAGTTGGATGTCATATCTTTCTTTTGGGCTCATTTATGTACCATTGACCAACTTTATTTACCTGCCCTACTCATTCCAGGCCTCATCATCAACATATCTGTGACTTGACTTTGCCTCAAGAGAATAAAGATTTTAAGGGATATGATTATACTATGAAATTAATAGTGCACAAAACACAAACATGTTGAGGTTTTAAAAGTAGGTCATTCAAAATGCTATGCAGACACAGAGGAGCTCAAACAGCATCACACACATACTTTAAAAAAATGAAATAATGCTTAAAACAATTCTCTTTAATGATAGGATGTCTTTAAATTGTGTGTTGTTCCTTTCTCTTTTCAAGAGACATTGACATTCTGACAATGCTTTCTTTGGCTACAGTCCACCAGCCATTTAAGTTTACTAAAAGTCGCATGGCTCTTGCAGAGTGAATGAGTAGTTGGCTATAGTTTACAACTACAGTCTTTACCTTATAATGGAGCAAGGCCACAAAATATTAGAGAGCAATTGAAAACATAACAAATGTGATATATCAACTGTTGTTGGCCTCCGTCTGTTTTGAGAGACAATGAAGTCCACCTCTGGGGGTGAAGTGGCTGCCAGGGTGGTGAATGGGGCAACGCAATGGGACCGTGTATCACTGGTCCTGAAAGCACTGCATTGACTCCCAGTGACTGCTCACAGAAGTATTATGTAGATGCTAAAAGGGGTGGGGACAGAATGTACCCATTAGACCAAAGGCCATGAGTGGAGCAAAAGTCCCCTATACCACTCACTGACTGATCTTTCAGGAACCACCACATCACTGTGCCTCCTAAGTCCAACTTGGATAAGCAGTCCAAGAGGATACCATGGTTGATAGAGACTCTCCTCCTGCAAGAGAGGGGAGTGGTTGTGGTTGGAAGCTGGACTCCGCCTCAAGCAGGGGGCGTTAGCCCCCTGCCTCCCACTCACCTGGCTGGCCTACGCCCACGGGCAGGCACCCAACTAGGTGCCTGCGAGGGGGCGTGTTTAGCAGCCCAAATTGCTGCGGCACCAGCCTTCCAGCCTCACTTTTCGTCGTCCCGTCGCAAGTCACCCACCCTCCACTCCCTTAGAGCTCAGGGTCTCAGTTTTCTTTTGGCCTTGCTATGGACCTTAGGTTGGTCGCCCTGGTTGTCTGGGGGGCCTGGTAGGAATTTTTCCATTTGGCATTAGGCTTTTTGGTTTTTCCGCCTACCTCGTAGCAATCATCACAACTTTTGTGGTATTGGTGGGTAGGTTAGGCATTGGAATAATGTGTTGTGGTGTGTCGAAGGGCTAGGTGTGGCCATCGCCTATGCCTTCAATTTTGGGTATTCCGTTAAAGGAATCTGGCGGTCGTGTATTCTGTCCGATGCCTGCTTGGCGGGAGGCCATGGCACGACCCTCGGTGACATCAGGGAGAGCTTATAGTTGGATTAGCATCAACAGGCTCCACCTACTGGTGAATAAACCCCCCTGTTTTAGACTCACCCCTCTCTGAGGGGGTGGAGTCAGCTGACGTAATCCAATGCCTAAGCCAATACCTTTTCACTTGCTGTAATCAGTAAAGTTGTGGCCTTTTCTTGCCCATTAACCTTATATCACGTGTCCTCGTGTTTTCATTCCACTACGCGGGGATCGGGTCCTCGAACCACAATATCAAAAGCTGATGAGAGATCCAGGACCAACACATACAGAATTTCAGGCCATTTACAATAATGACTCATGCATATTAATATTCTTTCTTTTGAGTCTATGTTTCTGTCCGTCACAATTCTTTGTCCCATGTTTTAGGACTAGTTCTGTTTTCAATATATCAAGCAAAATTGCTCCAGGATTATTAGTTTGCGTGGACTTCTCTATCTCACTAATTCCACCTTATCTGAGTTCCTTTGATAATTACGGTATGCTCTGGGTTGAACTTGAGCTGCTAAAAGAGACTTAGCCCTATCAATATATCTCTTTACAAATGGCTAAGCATATTATATGAATCTGGATTAGACTCACATAATTTCTTTCTAACAGAAACTTTATAGGGGGGAGGAAAATTAATCTCAAGAAAATATCTATAAACTCTTAGTCATTAAAAAAAACATAGTATGCATTTTGACACATGGGTGAACAATTGGAATCCACACAACTATGCAACAGAACCTTTAAAAATAAGTTTGGAGTATATATTTAATATATTTAGAGTTCATAGATATGAAAAAAATATATTGCATACTTAATCTGCACAACAATTTGTAAATAAGTTTACATTAAATTAACTATGATCAAGTAGATTAAATATAGTTAAGCAAGAGGCTTTGTCTGTCCTGCTAGTGGGGTGTGAGGAAGATAATACAAGGCTTTACCATTCCTTGAACTCTTGATGGAGTCGGCCAGAGCACCCCTAGCATGGTGTACCCTAGATGTTATCCCTGTTTTGCTGAAAATACCCCCAGAAGGGCTAATGGCAAAACTGGTGACAAGGCTTACTCTCATTATTTGGACCAAGGCATGAGTTGGAATGGACTGGGAATCAGGGGGCCTACTCCTGCAACTTTCCACACAGAGAGAAACAATGTGATCAGAATTTTCATTTGATCTTTGTGGAAATGTGCCTGGAGATAATTTGCTCAGTAGCAGGAAATGCTATAAACCTGGAATTCTACTCAGTTCCAGAATAAAGAGAAGCATGGCTTACTAGGGGAAATGCATGCTCCAAGGGTGGGGGTTGGGTGCTTTTGATACTATTAACTGTAGGAATTGTTTTCATAATTTGTGAGGAGTCATATGTTTGGAAGCAAGAGACTTTGCCAAAGGGAAATCCCAAAACATACAGTTTCTTCTACTTCCAAATGTGCTCCTGGGCTGAAAAGGTTTGGGAACGCCTGGTTTAGTATAAAACAGATTCATTTCACAATTTTAGTAATCAACTTGAAAATCGGGTATATCAGGCAGCATGTGGTTTGATAGCATGCTATATTCCATGGATAGATTTAAATAACCTTGTCCGGAAAGAATTAGACACAAAGAATGGGATACAGTATATCTTAATCTCATACTATGTATCCCGTCTGTATCAGATAAAAGAAAAACTCAGTGAAGCTGGGTGGTTGGCAAAGTCAAAGCTGAAGGAGATTAATTAAGAAATAAGCTGGGGGTTTTTCAGTCTGATTTGTTGGTGATTGTGAGACAGCTGTATGTATAGCTAAATTTTTGTTTCTTTAAAATGTCAAGGCTAAATGTATAATTGCAGCAATACACTATTCTATAATCAAAGCAATCATATCAATAATGCCATAAGGACAACAACTATAGTGGTATCACCACACTCTGATATAGCCACAGTGATCCATGCGACAATCACCTCGCTCTACGCAGGACTGCCCTTGAAGCTGACTCAGAAACTCCAGTGGGTACAGAATGCTGTTGTGAGGCTCCTTACGGGGTCCTTGCCACAGGACCACATTCATCCAGTGCTATAGCAGCTGCACTGGCTGCCGGTGGAGTACAGGGTCAGGTTTAAGGTGCTGGTTTTAACCTTTAAAACCCTATACGGTGTAGGACCCTCGTACTTACGGGACCGCCTCTCCTGTTATGCCCCACAGAGGACCTTACGGTCCACAAATAATAATATCTTGGAGGTCCCAGGCCTCAATGAGGTTAATCTGGCCTCAACCAGGGCCAAGGCCTTTTTGGCTTTGGCCCCAGCCTGGGGGAACACTCTATTGCAGGAGACCAGGGCCCTGCAGAACTTGACATCTTTCCACAGGGCCTGCAAGATGGAGTTGTTCCACCTGGCCTTCGGTCCGGGCCCAGCTTGACCTCCCTGTTTGGGACCCTGTCAGTTACCTCTTTGGCCCTTTTATCGGCTCATCTGGGATAGCTGGCCCTGATAAATACTTGAGGTTCCCGACCCCTATGTTTGTAATTCATGGGCAATCATTTAATTTTATCCTGATTCTAATTTTAAGCTGTATTTTAATCAATTGTTTGATTGTGTTTTAATGTATTTGATATTTGATGTTAGCCGCCCTGAGCCTGGTCTTGGCCGGGGAGGGTGGGGTATAAATAAAAATTTACTTACTTACTTGCTCTCTAAAGCGAGCAGTTGAAATATTTGATATCCCTTGGGCCTTGAGCTTCATCCTACTGCTCCCAAAATGTCATGGACACCCAAACACCCATTCAAAAAACCACTGGTGATGCTCAGAACCCCCACCCCAATATGTGAAGCATGTACACATGTCACTAAAAACAGATAAAACACAGGGGAAACATTCCCCCTCCCCCCAAAGAAACCAAAATAATATCCTATTGTCCTATTATTTCACTATAACTGGGATAGCTCAGTGGGTAAAAGCATGAGACTCTTAATCTCAGGGTTGCGGGTTTGAGCCCCACATTGCACAAAAGACTCCTGCATTGCAGGGGGTTGGAGTAGATGACCCTTGAGGTCCCTTCCAACTCTACAGCTCAATAATTCCATGATTCTACGTCCCCAAAATTCTTCCATCTTAAAACAAAGGCAAGAATGCAACGTAACTTTTAGGCCTAGAAGAGAAGCCCTTTCAGAAAACAAGGCAGTAATATTATATTATTCAAATTCAAAATGTGCTGCAAGTTGGTAGTAAAAAGTGTTTCCCTTCTTTCAGTCCCAAACTTCAAGCTCTTTTATAATAATTATGAAATGATTACTTGCATCAGTAAAATATATGGAGACTAATGACACTCTGTGTTGCATGTGTGGGCCTTTCTCTGATTTCAACAGCAACTGTACACCACCTGGAGGCCATAATTTTAGCTCAGTGTGTTCACTAACAACCATCTGCTCCCTGCATCTCAGCAGATCCCCATTTGTAAGCCTACTGTCACTCGGCCGAATGCTGTACATGTGTTAAAAATGAAAGCCTCCTTTCTCCTCACGGTGTCCCTGTGTTAGTTACTGCTCATAAATGTGTTCACAATTAGCATTTTCTTCTTTGCTGTCCTCTTGCCAGTAGCAAAATCTCATCTCTGATCCCTCCTTTATGAGCCATAATGAATAGATTTGGAATCAAGATCATCTCCTCCAGATGTAGCAGTCCTTTGTCATCCCATTTTCATCCCTGTTTCCTGGGAATATATCGCCCCACCCAGGGTTTCTTTCAAGCTGATGGCCAGTTGTTCCTGCTGAGCTTCATGAACTCGTTCAAAGGAACCACAAAGAACACCTCTGAGGCTATCATTTCTTTTTACACCAGACATTTGGAGTGCTTAGCCCAGCCCAGCCCAGATTGGTAAAGTGAGCTGGGTGAAAAAGATGAAGGGGCTCCTGCCCCTTTCAGAGTAATATAAAAGAAGGAATGCAAATTACACCTGGATGCATTGACTCCTGCGCCTTTAATAGTAATATACAAAAGGGGGTGTAAGCTACACTGGACTCTGGAGGATTGGGTGACTGGGCGTGGCTGCCGAGACCATATAACACTGGTCCTGAAAGACCTACATTGGCTCCCAGTACATTTCCAAGCACAATTCAAAGTATTAGTGCTTACCTTTAAAGCCCTAAATGGCCTTGGCCCAGTATAGCTGAAGGAGTGTCTCCACCCCCATCGTTCTGCCTGGACACTGAGGTCCAGCGCCGAGGGCCTTCTGGCAGTTCCCTCACTGCGAGAAGCCAAGTTACAGGGAACCAGGCAGAGGGCCTTTTCGGTGGTGGTGCCCACCCTATGGAATGCCCTCCCATCAGATGTCAAGGAAATAAACAACTATCTGACTTTTAGAAGATACCTGAAGACAGCCCTGGTTAGGGAAGTTTTTAATGTTTGGTGTTTTATTCTGTTTTTAATCTGTTCGGAGCCGCCCAGCATGGCGGATGGGCAGGGTATAAATAAATTATTTACCACTACTACTACTACTATTGAGAACAGGTTTGGGGTAATGGGGTACAGGGAAAGTCCCACTATGCAAACGAAGCTCACTCTGCTCACACATATCTCACTTAGTTCTGTGTTGAATTTCACCCTTTAGGTTCAGAAAACCATTTAAAGTGTATCATAATTTAAAAATGTGTAATTGTAGAAACATATGTATCCAATTCTGTTCCATGTCTATAAATAAATTGGCTTATCCAAATATATTGCTGAGTTGTTCCTGTTACTTAACTGTAGGCACATCTCACTGTTTCTAATGGAATCATGCTAGATTTGATTTCCTTGGCCACCTACAATTCTATTGTTTCCCTGTATAAATTTGTATTTGCACCACTTTGGTACAATTACCTTGCAATTACAGATGTTGTTGGACTCCATTTCCTATCAACCCCAGCCAGCATGGCCAATGGTCAAGTATGATGGGAGTTAGTTCAGCAACATCTGGAAGGCCACAGTTAACCCCAGCCTTACCACAAGGAAAGGAAGACAACAGAAAAGAGTGAGCCTACAGAGGCTATCTGCCTCTGGCCTTGTGCTGTTTAGGATACTCACCTTAGCAGGTCTTACAACTTTAAGTCTGGCTAAAGGCTGTTGCTTGCTGCCTATCTTCAAGTGTGCAGTGAGATGTGGATTAGTTTTTCACTGCAATATTCTCAAGCATTGGGATTGTGTGCATGGAAAAGGGCAGTGCAAGGAGCAGGAGAAACTAATGCTGATGACTGAAATCAGAATTCCAAGTTACAGAGTATTTCCTTTGATAACAAGGAAAATCACTCCCAGAAGTCTGAGCAACTCTCCCCCTGCATGCACAGTTGGACTGGCAAGTACAGCTTTGTTCAGGTATTCATGTTACGTGCTCCTCCTCTCTGTACATTTGTTTAAGCTTCACAGTGCCTCCTCTCTGCAAGGACTGGATGTGTTATTGATTCCCCACAGGTGACTTTGTTGAGCAGCTGATCCGCTTCTGTCTCTGCTTGCCCCACACCTAATGTCACATATTATTTAAGGTGTTGGAGAGGTGGGTATGGTTTGGGGAAAATGGTCTTTCAGGCATAATTGTGGCCCATGCTGGTCCAGTTTGGCTTGTGGGCTGGAGATTCCCCACCCTAGATTTAAAGTGGCAATGCTTTCCTATTTGACCTCTTTTTAATGGGTCATTTTGAAATGTTTTGAAATGACCTTGCATACTTTTTAAGCATTGTAGGTTGGGGAACCCCAGGTGAAAATGATTGGGGCTCAGTTACTGGCTGAAGGTGTGAAGGAGCTACGTAAATATGTAACTTGCCCATTCGAATCAACAGGACTGAAAGCTGCTTTAATCTGACTTTCTCATCTGATAAACAAACAGACAGATAAACAAACAAACACTATTTTTTTGGGCCAGGCCAGAATGATATTAATCGATTGAATGGGGGGCACATCCTTGGTGAGGTGCAGCTTCACTAAATCTTAACGTAGGTCTTACATAATGTCAGAAGATTAGATGGCAATAAATCTGGACAGTGGACTAATTTTATGATCAGTGGCGTATTTCCTTCAAGGAAACTACAATTGCACACTTGCAAAGATATTTTTAGCTTGGGAATGTGTATGTAATTGGGCTCTGGGTTTATTATTATTATTATTAACTCATTATTTCCATTTTGGATCTCAGGTCTCCTTTGCTATTTCTCTAAGGGACACCTGCTGGAAATATATTCGAAGGGAAAGAATAACAAGTGCTTGTTGCTCTAACATAGTTGTTCGCAGCAGCTAGCATGGAATACAGATGCTAATGTAATGCCTAAAAGTGCCTGTCTTTCTAGTGCAGAAAGTTACTAGTTATTTAATCACTTTTCAGTGTTGCATATTTGTTTGAATAACAGCAAAATAAGCCCAGAAGCCACCTCATGCTTTGGTTTTAAAACTAAAAAGGCCACTCTGCATAAAACAGACATCATGTTTGTTCCCAATGTAGGTACTGTGGCATTCCCCAATAAACTGTTAATTGCTTCATTCCTCCAAAGACTTCCACAGCTGTGGCTATATATAGCTGCATGTGCGCAGTGTGCACTATGTGCTACAGTAACATCCAGTGTGAAGCAAGTGAAGAAAGTTCATGCAACAAACTATGCATTGCAGCCCCGTTGACAGAATCCTTCCCCACCATATGTCAAGCATGCAACAGTTGTGATAGCTGGAAATCTTTAGGAAGATAAATAGAAGAATGAGGCCCATCCCACTCCTGCCACTGTCCTACTTTGTCACTGCACCCAATCACAGTTTTGCAGTGGATTGTGTCATTGTGCTAACAGAGCAGCATCTTGTCTGTTGCCTCTGGAGCTCATCAAGTCACTGAAATGGAAGCCACAGACATGGAAGATAACCCAGACACGTTTTTGTTTTTATTGGTATAAATAATGTGGGGTAAGCTGAGAAAGGGGACAATGGCTGGGAAGCACCCAAATCCCATTTTTAAAGGCAGCTCGGCTTAATTTCTCATTAGTACTCCAGCGATATAGGTTCTCTGAGCAAATCCCTTAATATTTTTTAAAGATGTGTGGCACACACAAAGATGTGCACAATGGGTCAGGGATTATTGCTTCAGATGAGGTGTGTTGAAAGTGCTTAGACTGACGTAGTTGGCAATTGCCGATGTTGCCGTCTTAATTACTACCATCTGTGTCAACTCAGAGTATGCACTGCAAATGGAAACAGGGAAGGAATGGGGTGTTCTCTGTGTGTACGTGAGCCTGTTTGCATGCAACTCCAGATATCTAGAATGGACATTACAAGGAGCATTTCATCACTGGTGGACTTGTCAAGGCTGTATTATCGCTCTCCCAACCCCATCCCCTCTGCTTTTCTAGGCTGCAAACAAAAAGATTAGCAGTGCAATCATATCTACCCAGAAGTAAGCCCCGCGATAAAGATTGGAGCCTAAATTACTTCTGCTGTTCCACATGTGTTTTCCTTAGCAGATCTCCCTCTCTCGCTAACTCGTAAAGTGTCCTTATGCCAATGAAAAACAATATTTCTGTCTTGCTGAACCTGCTGTATCTTATGGCACAAATCTTTTATAAGAGAGAAGAGGGGGGAGGAACCCATGGTGGTTGGCACTTTATAAATTTATAGCAAAACTGCACTGCCAGCTGAATGAAAGAACTAAGTACAGTCCTTGTGTTGTATATGTGAAGCACTTGGCATGTAGAGCTGTTTGGAAGCAACCTGAATTATTTCAGGGAACTTGAGTGGATTTTTACCAACTGCAACTTCAGATCCCAGAAAAGGACTGCTGACACTAGATTCTTGAACTACCTTACTTGGTTTATAGGCATATGACATTGGCCTAGTGTGAGGTTTGTAGGACTGCAGCTGCATACATTTCAACTGAGCTGTACTAAACCACTGAAACACATCAGGGCAGTTAACCATGGCTACTTCACAGACTGATAGAACCAGCAGCATTCAAAGTGTTAGTTCTGACTTGTAGAGACATTTACAGGCTGGGAACTGCAT